ATTTAGCCTATCTGTATCGATGCCCACCACCTTTTCGCAGACGTTTCCTCCCCTCGTTTTTTTTTTCAGGGGTGGGAGTCTCGCTGCGCGTAGCCGGCTAGAATTGAATCATGAAGAAGTCCGCTAAGTGAGAATGATAGGCCTTCAGCTTCTTGTTATGTGATTTATTCCCACCGTGTAAGGCCTATATCTGGCTGATTTTTCCTATGCCGAGAATTTTTCAACCGACTCAGAACTACATTGATGAAAAAATGTATTTACAGTTCATTTTTTTAAACTTGTTTTTCCTTAACAAGTTAAGATAATATTAATGTTAACGCGGCGCATACTGTTTTCCTTTTCGTGGATGACCAAAAGTGACTTACCATTCAATATTAATTTCTGTATACGCATGGTCGTCTCTATTTTGAACAAAATATAAATATAAAGCGAAAGGACAGAGCAAAAGGACAGGATAATGTAATGAGAACGTAGCGTATCCCACAATAAATGAATGTGTTCAGTCTGCTGGATATTTTTGTCACCTTCCTCGGCACATTATCAGCGCGTTTTATCAATAACTGATCGTTAAACAAAGGACTGTTCCCGTCTTCAATACAGAAATATATAAGTTTAATTTGTGGTCTCTGCACAAGCGAGAACTTGGCGTGATGAAGCAGGTCAAAGCCCGATAATAAAAGATGTGTATTCCTCGCTCTTAAAGCATGTCATGAACAGTAATTAATGACGTCTTTGCTTAAAAAAAAAGCCATTGGACTCACCTGATAAATTAACACACGACTGATATTCGAACGACAGTTAACCGATATACCACCGACAGTTGACCGATATACCACCGACAGTTCACCGATATACCACCGACAGTTGACTGATATACCACCGACAGTTGACCGATATATCACCGACATATGACCGATAGCAAGTCGAGGTGCGTCGTCGAAATATCGACCGATACTCGGTCGATAGTCTATCTCACTATCGACCGACTATCGACCGACTATCGACCAACTATCGACCGACCATCGACCGACTATCGACCGACCATCGACCGACTATCGACCGACTATCGACCGACTATCGACCGACTGTCGACCGACTGTCGACCGACTATCGACCGACTGTCGACCGCTATATCGACCGCTATGTCGACCGATATCTCGGCCGACATTACTCACAGTAAACAAGATCCTAAGAGGTTTGGGCCGGGGATTTCCCCTGGCTACCCTAAACATTGCCTCTGGCTACTTTCATAGGAAAATAGAAGGAAAAGAAATCCCTAGCTTTTTGATTCCCTGTCTACTTGTTGTTTGTACCCAGCAACTTGAAATCTTGGTGACAGCCCTGCTTATCACTACATTTTTTATCGTTACTGTATAAACACCTATGAAATACCAAGTGAGCTTTTCATGACTAGCTTGTGATTTTCACATACACATGATAAGATCAGCATTGTTATGGTTACATAAGAAATTGCACCTTGTGCAGCGGTGCCTCTGACAGCAGTGCCTTGGTCAAAGTAATTTTGATGCAACTTCAAAATGGCAGACAATTACCTTAGAACTGGAATCTAAATATTATTGCATGTTGACATGCTTACTACTCAACCAGAAAACAAAAATACAAAGAAAAAGATGATGAATGACTTGAACATTGTTCTCAAATTTCTTCACAAGGTTCAGAACAAAGAGAGAAATTAGAGAATATTCCACCAGGGGAGGTGAATATAATATACCTTAGTGAATTCATTATTGCTGCTAGAACGAAGAAAGGAGAGCGATATGAGCCGTCTTCTTTCAGAGGAATCTTATCACGCGTTGACTTTTATCTTACAAAGGGTGAATATGGGAAAAGGCTATTCACTGATCCCGAATTTATGAGATTTGGAGACACATTGAAGGCAAAGCAAAAAGAACAGAAAAAACAAGGCGCTCACTCGTGAACTATTTTTTCAACACTCAAAGAGAAATTTCGTATCTATGCACTGCCATGTAATATGCTCTATATATCTTATACGTCTTGGCTTGTATTTTTCTAGGGTTTTAATTTTTGTATTTTCTTTCCTCTGTACATAAACAGTTGCAACCTTAGAACACATCCTGCAATTGAAAATGACTTCCACAACTCTAAAAACTTAGAAAGACAACTTACATGGAGTTTTTAATTTTGTTGTAGGTAAAAATTCAGGTTAATCCTGTATTCAACCTTCTTTGATTTTTTAGCCCTTACTTCTTGTAGGAAACAAAAAAGAAATTTTGGTTGAACCTGACAACAGATTTTACCTAAAGCAGTGTTTTCACATGTTGGTTTGCCTATATTTGTGACTCAGTTTATAAAGGAATGGTTGAATGCAATTGTTAATAAATAAATTCCCACTTGGAGAACCAGGTTGACCAATCCCAAAAAATAATTTACAAGTTCCTATAAAATACAGAAAATCACCTATCTGTAAAATTAAACTCTCACAAAAATAAAATGTGAAATGGTACTGACTACAACATTG